CCATTTGTATTTCCTTGTCATGCCATTCAAGAATTATAGGTTTTCCATTGACTCTTTCCAACTGTGAAATTATGTGAGACACTAATTGGTTTCATAATATTTCCTTGCCTAGCCCATTTATTATTATTATTATTATTATTATTATTTTGGAGGGGGTGGGTTTCCCCATGCACTGTGACCAGTTGTTGATTTATTGTGCATCCCCCTTTAATTATTCTACCAGTCGCCATGCCCTTCCCGTACTGGTGCTTGCTATCAGCCCCGTTCTGCCAGTGAGGTCGGCCCTCTCTGGCAGTGGTCCCTGATACTTCCCCATCTACCAGAGGAATTAGAAACTTTGCCTAATTTTGCTCAGAGGTTTCCTAGAGACATGAGGATCTTTTACGTGCTGTAAATCTACAACATGGGACACACAGCTTAAAGTCCCTCCCGGAGGACTTGTTCCCTGAATTTTTCCACCCTTAAACATTCCACGACCTCTGCCGGGTTTGAACCTGCATACTTTGAGTCATGAGGTGGTAACATTACCCCTAGACTACGGAGGCCGCTAGCCCATTTAAGTGAGAGCCCTGCCTTTTATATAATAGTCTATTATTTTTCAATTCTTTTGTACTTACATGACTAAAAATTTTTGCTAGTTTACTCAGTTTGCTGTTAAAAAGTTGAATTGAATTGTTTAAGTGAGAAAGATCTGTAGTATCATATCTAAGAGGTGCACTTATTAATATTACATTGGTGTGCTTTACATTCCTGAATGCTACTCTTAAGTCATTTCTACTAATGTCATTAGATCCACTACTAATTATTAAGAAGTCATCTGCTGTTAGGTTGCCCACTTNAGGAATTAGAAACTTTGCCTAATTTTGCTCAGAGGTTTCCTAGAGACATGAGGATCTTTTACGTGCTGTAAATCTACAACATGGGACACACAGCTTAAAGTCCCTCCCGGAGGACTTGTTCCCTGAATTTTTCCACCCTTAAACATTCCACGACCTCTGCCGGGTTTGAACCTGCATACTTTGAGTCATGAGGTGGTAACATTACCCCTAGACTACGGAGGCCGCTAGCCCATTTAAGTGAGAGCCCTGCCTTTTATATAATAGTCTATTATTTTTCAATTCTTTTGTACTTACATGACTAAAAATTTTTGCTAGTTTACTCAGTTTGCTGTTAAAAAGTTGAATTGAATTGTTTAAGTGAGAAAGATCTGTAGTATCATATCTAAGAGGTGCACTTATTAATATTACATTGGTGTGCTTTACATTCCTGAATGCTACTCTTAAGTCATTTCTACTAATGTCATTAGATCCACTACTAATTATTAAGAAGTCATCTGCTGTTAGGTTGCCCACTTCTTCCATCATTATTTCACTTAATGATTCTGTGCAAGATCCAGGATTTATCACACCACACACTTCAAAACGAGCATCCAGAGAAGTTATCATCTTCGCTGCACAACCTCTCACATGGCTATCACCAATTATTAATACTTTATGCATATTACCTTTAAGATATTTTATTTTAAAGGATTCTTATTTCAGATTCTTTCACTAAGTTACGCACTTGGTCCCATTTATTAATAGTTATCAGTTCTATTTTGATGATGTTTTAAATATGTGGGTAGCTTGTTAACAGATGATGGAAGGTGTACTAGTGAAATTAAATCCAGGATTGCCATGGCAAATGCTGCATTTAGCAAGAAGAAGAAGAATCTTTTTACCAGCAAATATGACTTAAATTTGAGGAAGAAACTAGTGAAATGCTACATTTGGAGCATAGCTCTGTATGGGGCTGAAACATGTACACTTAGGGCAATAGATCAGAAACATCTGGAAAGTTTCAAAATGTGGTGTTGGAGAAGGATGGAGAAGATCAATTGGACCGATTATGTGAGAAATGAAGAAGTGTTAATTAGAGTCAGTGAGCAGAGGAATATCCTACACGAAATAAGAAAACGGAAGGCTAATTGGATTGGTCATGTTTTACGCAGAAACTGCCTTCTAAAAGAAGTTATCGAAGGAAAGATAGAGGGGCGGATAGAAGTGACAAGAAGACGAGGAAGAAGACGTAATAAGATGCTGGATGACCTTGGGGACAGAAGAGGATACTGTCATTTGAAGGAGAAAGCTCTAGATCGCATTAAGTGGAGGAATTGTTTTGGAAGAGACTGTGGACCTGTCGTCAGACAGATTACTGATGATGATGATGACGATGATGATATTTTGATGCTTACTAAAGTTAAGTTGGCCATTTATGATAATTGGTATATTGTTTACATTTTGATCCCACTATATTATGTTGAGATGAGTTAGGTTTGTGCACAATATTTCCCATGTAATGTGGAGTAGATCTGTTTCTGGACCTCCCTTGGCCCCTCCTCCTCTTGTAGTTCACAAAATGATCTGAACTTTCTTCAGTGAGGTTAGGTGATCCTTCCTCTTCTCGGAGAAAATTTTCAGTAAGGCTTCCCAATATGTTATATTTATTTTCACAGCTGGTAATTTGAGATAAACAAGTACTGGTGCACTTCATTACCTTATGTCCTCCATATCGCCTTTTAGTTGATACAGTGGTCCAGTTATCAGACGCCAGGCTTGGGAATTCCCTTTCATATTTGAAGAGAGAGTCTTGTTGCAATATTTCAACTATTTTTTTAAGTAATTTCAATTGCAAGAGGGTGTCATTTAACTGCCTTTGTTTATGGAAACAACTTATGCACTCCACAGCACCATTTATATCTGTATTTAGTGAAAGTAGCTGGGAACGATCAGACCACACACGTCTCAGCCACCATTTTGGAAGATATGCTAATATGTACAACATTTCAGCAACAGTGAACTTCAGAAATAATGATTTAACACATAGGGTCATTAATATAAAATGTGATATAAGTTGCAGGGGCAATATTGGAAGCACAACTTCCTGTCATGTTCATAGTCTGGTAGTGTGTTATGTTGTCACGTATTGCAGATGTTTCTTTTACAACATGTTTCAACCTTATGACGTCATTATCTGGTAGGTGTTTTACGTTTTATGTAGTTGCCGCATTATATTGTTTTCAATTCACTGTACTAAACCATTGTTAAAACTTGGATAAAACTCTTGCTAAATTTTGTTAAAATTTAGTTAAAGCTATATTCATTTGTGACTGATACTTTATGCTGCCAGTACTCCATAGTTTCTTGAATTGGGTGTGAACTGTGTATGGAGTCTTGTTATGGTGTTGAAAAGTTATGTTGTGTGTGAAGTTGTTGATATTCAGTATGACATAGTATCATGTAACTTTCATGGATGGTAAGATAAGCTTAAGAGCATGAATTTTAATTCCAGGATTTGTTCAATTATTTCTTACCAGTACTCCTCATACTCATAAATCTTGTCTCACTCCTAAGCAATTTTTCTTTCAGTTTCATGTTCAGAACTTTCTTTGGAATTCAATCATCAAAGAAAAGCACACATTAAACAGTTAAGAGAAGTACAGTATTTAGAACATGAAGAGTAAAGATTTGTGTAATGTTTAAAATTTGTCACGACCATGTGAATGCAGCATTGTCCTTATATGTTGTTGAGAGTTCTTCCAGCATGTTTGTGCATAGCTCAGGGACTGTCATGTCCTAACTTATATGAATTCTCAAAAATGCTGACTATGGTTCCCATAATCTTTGCATATTGTGGCACACAGACCCACTGCTAGGCAAAGGCCTCAAAACAAACGAGACAACAATCACTGTTATGCAACAGTATGACAATCACACCTTTACAACAGTAGAGTTACTGCTGGAAACAGTGTTTTCTGCGCGGTCTGTGCCAAGCAGTTATCTTGAAGACAACTGGGGCAATCCAGGCAGTTGTCAGTTCAGAGTTCAGCTCTGTACAGGAGGCTGTGAAAAGAACTCCGCGGCCTGTAGTCTGCAAGTGAACTATACCAACTGAGTGACCGCCGCATGTTGGCAAAGTTAGTGACAACTTTAGTTGATAACAGGGTGTCGCGTGGTCAGCGCAATGGATCCCCATGGCCGATAACTCAGTTTTCTAGACAGGAGCCACTATTTCCTTGAAGTAGCTCCTCGATTATCCTCACAAGGCTGAGTGGACCCTGTTCCAGACCCACTAATTCTCAGAAAATCTGGTAGCACTGGGAATTGAACCCGGGACCTCTTTAGCCAGGAACTCTGACCACTAGACCACAGACGTGGTCAACTCATGTGTGATATCTGGAGCAATTCAGTGAGACTGTTGTAGTTCCTGTGTTAAAATCCATTGCGAGGAAATGACTAGTGGAGACGGTAATAGACTGAGGAGACTAGCTCTCTGTGTGTGTGAAGTGTAGTCATGAGTCATGTGTGTATAAGTGGTCATTAAATCTATTCAACAATCCAAACCCCATCTATAGCTACACCACAATATATGTGACAATATCTTCATTCATATATTTTACAACCATTCTCATTTACCAAAATTCAAGGGAATTTGTGCCAAAGTGGTGAAGTGCCTCACGTACTACTATCTGCAAGGTGTATATTATGTTCTTCCGACCCTGAATTACTTAAAGTAAATATATATTTTTAATGAAGTGTGTATATTTATTTTAACAGCCTGTATATGGTATGGGAAGAGGGGAAGCTTTACAGGACATCAGAGCATAGTACAAGATCTTGAAACATAGAGTGCCTGAAAACCACAGAACTAGAATGTATACATATTTAACAAATATTAAAACATTTGTTAGATGGGTTATTAAAACCATGGTTAGAACACTGATCTGAGCACAAATTATGAATAAATATTGTAAAATCCTCAATTACATAACAAGAATGTAAGCACCCCCCCCCCNAAAAAAAAAATCTATGTCAATACACCAAAAATAAATTTTGATTATGTGTAACTGTGACTTTTGGGGTTCAGCTGTGGTGAATGATGAAGTTGTTCCAGGAAACTTAAGCAAAAGGAAGAACAAATTTAAAGTACTTCACATGTTACATGACCCTACTTGCACTCACCACATTAGGGCTGATATGTTCTGGCATGACAGAATGCCAATGATCAGGCTCTTTGCCTGCTTCAGCAGACTTCTGTCGATATCGTGCTGTGAAGTAGGTGATGGGATAACCACCAGTATCTATTACTTCCCACAACAAGAGGGCCAACACTGTTGAAGGACGAACTGTCACATTTACCAGAGGAGGTGGTGGCGCTAGAAAATAAACATATTCCAGCTTGTAAATGTAACATGAAGAATAGCACCATCACTGAGATACATATATGATTCAGCAGAGAACTGGGCAAATCCATGTAGAGCATCAAAGGAAGATACTAAGTTCTTAATAAAACATGTGTATTATACATATATATATGCAATTGTTTCCCTCGCATCAAAATTCAATTGAATAAAATCAGTATCTATGTTTCCATGAATAAAAGACACAGCTGAGTCACATTCCAGTTAAAAGAGTACTGCACAAGCCTACATGTGACTTGGCAGGCAGCCACACTAATCAAGACAGAGATAGCACATTGTGGTGTTGTCATCCATTTTAAATTAAGGTTTATTTGCATAATTAGTAGATATCATTATCACTATCTGAACCATCTGAATCTGATTCCATCAGGGTGATGAAAATTAGCTCCATGAGATCTACTTCTTTCACAGAATTTCCTTCCTGAAGGTTCTCAACATGCCAAACACAATTTTTCCAAACTCAAATATCGCTGTGTAAGATTTGAGGCTTTCACGACGATGACTATGAAGAAAGCAGTCTTCTGGGATTTGGCACCGTGTGCCAAATCCCAGAAGACTGCTTTCTTCAAATATCACTGTTCTGAATAACTTTATGAGGAAATCACTTGATGGCCAAGAATTTTAAAGATGTTATTTTTTTCTGCAACATACAATTTCACTTCTACCCATATAATTTCAACAGGACTATATTTGAATGATACGTGGGTAAATGTTCTACTCTGTGACCATGAATTCTTGTAATGTTGAGTTCATACTATCAACTATGTTCCTTATATTCTCACCAACTGCAATAATTCTGCAAGTATTTGTGTGGTATTTCTGCCCGAGAGCCAAGCTACAATACCAGGTTTCTGTTGCTTGTAGTTGGGGGCTTCCCCAACACAGGAGAATGACAGCTGGCATTATGCGTGGAGGTCATCTGAGAGCATTCCAAAAATCCTTCAGCTATTCAGGTAAGAGGAGAACAGGCTACTTGTGTCATTTCATACTGTATGTATTTGGACTTGTGGCATAGTTGACGGGCCAATGGCCTATATACATTACAGCTTTTCTCCGGTATTACCCCAGCAAACCTTCAAACAACTATGGGAAGCAAGCTTATGTGTTATGTACCCATTAAGCGGCCTCCATAGTCTAGAGGTAACGTTCCCACCTCATGAGTCGTGGTACGCGGGTTCAAATACCCGGCGGAGGTTGTCGAATTTTTAAGGGCGGAAAAATTCAGGGAACAAGTCCTCCAGGAGGGACTTTAAGCTGTGTGTCCCGTGTCGTAACTTTACGGCACGTAAAAGAACCTCATATCCCCAAAGGGGATCACTGAGCCAAATTCCAGGACGTTTCCCATCCAACAATAGTCTCTAAGGCCTCTGATAGATGGGGGAAGCATTATAAACACCGCTAAGCAAGTGGGTGAACTTGTTTGCTCGGCGGGACTGATGGTACACCATTTATCGGTAGGGTAAAGAGACTGGTAGAATATCATAGAGGGAAGCAGAATAGATCAAACTGGTCGCGGTGCATGGGGAAACCCACCCTCTCTAAATAACTAACTAACTAACTATGTGCCCATTAGTTATAATCTCAATCCACTGCTACTGCATTAAACATTCAGTCATGTTACTTTTTGTGCTGAAGTTCCATGAGATAGTTAAAGACTGAAACAAGTGTCTGTATATAATATCTGTGCGATAAGTCAGGAAAATAATGACAAAGTGCAGGATGTTACATTTCCAAATAAAAAAACACATTAATATAATTGTAAATATACTTAGACAGAGGGGGTTACTGCTGGAGGAGAAGGTGAAGACAGTGGTGGGATCAAATTAAAATTCCAAGTGTTCACTGAAAAGAAACTTGTTGATATCAGTGCTACATTCAAATTTCTTCTTGATAATCCCTTAAGACACCTTGCAGAGGAGACAGCAGACTGAAGTTACAGGTTGAAAGTTCTGAAATTGTGAAGTAATGTCTTTCACAGATTTTTAGTCAACACTCTGAACAAGATCATCACCCACTACAGATGGCCAGCCTAGCACTGCGCACTTCACCACACATATTTGTTCACCCATCTTTGAACATTCTACAACACTGTCTTACAGTTCCTTCATTAACTACATTTTGGCTGTAAACTGTGCATAATTCAAGATGGATTTCCACAGCACTCATGTTTTTAGAGTGAAGAAAGCGGATAACAGAGCTAATTTTGCATCTATTGCAGGACACATTGTAACTCACTCTGTAGAGACAAGAACAAATAACTAAGT